TCATTCTGAAACATGGAAAAAATTTGATGGAAGAAATAACCTATAATGTCCTTCTACTAGCATAACATTATTTACCTTCATCATCTTGCCTATTGATGCATCCAAGAAGTCCGGAAGTGATAGTAGTCTAAGTGTGTGCCCCTGCAGTATCAACATGTAAATGAAACTTTAAGCCCAGAGAACAAGTTTTACACTAAGCCAATTTCTTTCAACTCACCGTTGGGGCTGTGTCAAAAACTATGCGAGAGAAGCTACTATAGTCTTTTGATTCAAGAAACTGCATGACCTGCAGAACCATCCTATGGTCAAAGTGACTGGAATAAGACAACAATAAGACAGTTGTTTATGTGGAGCATTGATACTAAAAACAGCACCGAACAATCACTGTACATGCCTTGGAAATTGCAATAGCCTCATCTAGACCAGGTGGAGGAGTGTCCAACAGCTCTCCAAGTTTTAGTTCTCCCAACTATCACAAGTTAATAAGAGCAGAGTCAGATACCACAAGGAATCTTGCAGACATCATACTTTGCCGATTGCCAAAATCAAAACTTTGTTTAAACAGTTGCTATTCAACTGCTGCAATAGAGAAAGAAACTTGAACCTGAACTTAACATGTAATGTCGAGTTTAGAGGCTTTACCAATTGAAACAACAACCAGAGACATGGTGAATTGCTTAAAGATCTATGATTAAATCAGATAAACTGGTAGTTGAGTAGTACTCCCTCAGTTCCCTTGTACTTGTCCAGTATCAGTATACTATAAATAAATTTTCCCTTTTACTTATCCACCTTAGCAAATCGAGAGGGAATTAATTATATTTTTTCAATTTTACCCTTATCATTATGCTACTATTTCCTAAACTAATTGGAGTAACAGTAGTCAAATTTAGATTTCCAAAATACCATTAATAAGGATAATTTAGTAAAATAAACACCTAACTAATGCTTTCTTAAGGGGAGTGCAAAATACAAACTGGACAAGTAAAGGGGACCAGAGGGAGTAGGAAACAAGGAGAAACAAAGACTAGGCATGCACAGTTAAAACCAAATGAAATGAGAGGATTTATTTGGAAAAGAAAAACAATGAAACATTTTGCTTGTGCTGTCACCTGCTCAGCAAGCATTCCGAGACCCATGCTGTCCATAAAATCTTTGACACCTCTGCCACCTTGTAGTTGGCTTGTAGCACGGAACTCTTCCCTTGTTTTCTCTGGGTTTATCTATTTGAATATCAGTTTATTATAAAATATATTTGCCTTAAACAAGTGGATACTGTGCTCTAAGTACCAGCATCACAATCATAAGGAAGAGATATACCTCTAGTGCATACAATGGAGAATCCACTCCTTGAACCGGAACAAGTGCCCCTCCAGTCAAATCCTACAGAAAACACAAAATATTAAATACATTGACTTTTACCCTCTTTTGGAACACTTTTAGAAGAGAAGTACGTAGCAGTTACCTGATCAAAAGAATCACTCAAAGAGTGGGCAGGGTCAGTTGAAACAACAAGAGTCGGGTGACCATGATTTGCAAATTTTACTGCCAGAGAAGCAGCACAGCTAGTCTTTCCAACCCCTCCTTTCCCGCCTAACATGAAATACTTCCGCTGTGTCCCATGAACCATCTCATTGAAGCCAACAAAAGCTTCAGTAGGAGTTGTAACCGATCTTACTACAAAGATAAAAGGAACTTTAAACAATCACAAAGTTGTTCTTTATAAAACATCTTAAACATTGTTCTGTGTAAAGTCAAGAATACGTCAACTCATAATTCTTTTTTAACAATTCAAGTTGGCATTTAATGTTTACAGTTATATGCAAAGTAGCTGCGTGAATTCTTGTTTCACACGTATTTGTCCTAAGTTTTAACAATCAACTGCTACACTAGATATAGTATAACTTGTCATTAGAACTCGGGTGGAGTCGACAGAATGCATAGAGCAAGATACAAACAAACTAAAAAGCAGGGTTTCAAATGCTGAATTGGCTTTAAAGATGTGGTTCCACAAATCTTCCACTGTTGGTCTCACACAAACACCTAAGTAGAATCAGGACTACTGGCTTCTCTTTTGAGAAATAACTGACAAAGTTGAATCACTCCTTGGCATTTGCATTTTTCAAGTCTGAATTCATTGCGGGGACAAAGGTCTTCTTTTTATGTTTTTAACATTGAACACCACTTGCATTTGTTGGCACACACTAGAACAACAACTACTACTCTTAGTCCCAAAAAAGTTGGGGTCGGCTGTATGAATTCTCACTGACAAGTTAATCCATTTAAACTCATCTCATGCCTATATTATGCAAAATATAAATGAAAAGTACTAGAAAATCTGTATATTTTCTAAACCTATAAATCACTGAAAAGCTAAACCACTCCTAAATAGTATAGGACCTACAGTAAAAGTGCTAACGTCTAAGATATATTCTCAACTAATATGTAACGCCTATATTAGACTTTTTTTAGTATTACTTGTTCCTTTCGCTTTGTTTTCTTACTATCTTGCTATTGTTAGCTTGGTGCTACTGCTTTTCTTTTCGTCTTTTGTGAGCCGAGGGTCTATTGCGTGAGCCGAGGGTCTATCGGAAACTGTCTCTCTTGAAGAAGGTGGGGTAAGGTCTGCGTACACACAGCCTCCCCACACCCCACTTGTACAAAGTGCTTCAAAGACACTGTTTTTACACCTCGAACCCGTGTGACATTACACCCTAAAACAAATGCATATCTACCTAAAATACCCGAGTCTTAAAACAACTGATAAAGTTCAACTACATACCTTAATATTTCAACTCCCATATGCAGATATAAGAAGCATTCATAAATAAGAGCAACACATGTTTGATCAAATTACCCAATGAAAAAAAATTAAAAGGCATTGAAAATACCAACTTTATAATGGAGGGTTACCTTGAAATGGGGATGTGAAAGGTTTTGAGCTGAAACTTGTTGAAAAAGAACTAAAGCTTCTTTTAGTGTCCTTCATTAAAGAAAAATATAAATTGGTTTTTGCAGTTTGACGAAAAAAAGAATTCATGGCCATGGCTATGCCGAAAAATATTAATTGGTTTTTGTTTCAGGTTAAAGCTTATTTTGCAGCAGCCTAAGGAAGAAATGTGATGGTGGAGCAAAATTTGTTTTGGGGGTGTTTTGGAGACTTGGAAAAGAAGATGGGGTCGAAATTATAATTTTTTGGTTTTTGTTGGATGTTAACTTTGGTCTTGGAACATATTTGGATATTAACATTGATCTCCCAAGTTGTCAATTGAGCAAATAAGAGTTTCTCTTATTCACGACGATGTAAAATTGTATATTACCTGTAACAACTAAGTTGTCTAATTTTTAAGCTTTCATTCTTTATGAAGGGTTACGTATAATGTTATTTTAATTGACCTGATAATATAAAAGTTTCTTTACACATGTCGACATTTATAAGTAAAATTCTCAAAGAAAATCCCTAATGAGGAATTTCCCAAACAATATTGATCCTCCCTAATTCAATAAGAGTTGAAAATTGCAAAAAAATTCTAACCGACCTAGCCTAACTAACCGCTACTAGCGGGCAAAATATAAATGTTGTGGAGATTCAAGCTTCATTCGTGATCGTGTTGCGCAAAAGATAGTTGTAAAGGAACAATTGTGAAATGGCAACCCTTGCTTTGATTGTTTGTTTAGTTTTACTTTATTAGAAGAGAAGCGAGAAAGGGGTTAGCATAAGTGAGAATTCTCCACATACTACAGGGGAGAATACACTTTTATATTATTCCTCGGTCGATATTCATTATCTAGTTAACTTAATGACAAGAAGCTTTTTCCCCCCTAAGATGAAAATCACGTTTAATGTGAATGTGAGATATTTATCATTCGTTCAAAAAATTCACCTCTAGGGTCCAAAATAGGATGATAAAAAAAAAAGGTCCAAGAATTTCTTATGTTAATTCTTTTATGGAATGTCCCCAAAGCAACGAGGTCCAAAATTGAATCCGAATTCAAACTTGTTCACAAACAAGTTTGGAAAAAAAATTTAGACTCAAAATAGGTATTGTTGTTGCAACCACTAGTGCTTGCATTAGGATAGTCTGTCTACATCACACCTTTGGAAATGCGTGAATATGGGGTACTTTATGCATTAGGCTGTCTCGTTTTGCTTTATCGAGACAATGTCAGCAAAATATCTTCTATTTTCCACTTCTCATTCTCTTTTTTCCCCAAGTTTCTACTTGGACGAAAGCCACATATCATGATTAAGAATTAAATGCAAGATTTAATTAACCAAATCAAGCTCCAAACCATGATTAACGTTTAAGTTATTAACAAATATTTTTGATAATTTTTTTTCCACGTTTCTACTTTTCTCTACGTTTCGGAACTTCCGATTTCTGTTATACTAAGAACATCCTCTTGTTTTATTGTACTGCTAGAGAATAGAGATATATATTTTTTGTATTTTGAGTTAATATATGTAATTGTTCTTGGTTGTGTTGCCCTTTAATTTTTCTTTAATGTTTAACCGTTATTATATTATCCTCGTCCTTCTTATTGTACCTTCATCGTAATTTGTTTAATTAAAATAGTGGTGGGTAAGATAATCTTAGTTTTATTACAGTTCTAATGGATTACTATGATAGCTCAATTGAGCATTATCGATATCCGTATAAAATTATCAATTAGCATAATTAAAAAGCATCCACTTATAAAAATAAACGGATTCCTGTGAGCTTGGTGAATCTGAGCTCAATTTCCAGAATCATCCAAGCAATTAGGTTTGAGAGTAGAAGGGGTTAGCTTAAGAGAGAAAAGAGGAATCACAGAGAAAAATGAAATCTGTATTTTGTAATGGATGAGTACAACTTTATATACAATTACACACTAACTCAATTCTGTACTAGCTTAACTAATTACTTAACTACTGGGTCCCACAACTATAACCGACTAACTAACAAAACTGACTAATAGCTCACACCCCCTCAAGCTGGAGGGTGCAAGATGTTAAGCAGTCAAAGCTTGCCTAGTAGAAATGCATGCTGAAACTGTCCAAGACCTTTAGTGAGAAGATCAGCTAGCCGATCTTTAGTCCCCACAAATTGTGTGCTAAGTACACCTTGTTTGATCTTGGCGCACACAAAATGGCAATCGATCTCAATATGTTTGGTATGCTCGTGGAAGATATGATTGGCTGCAATCTGGAGAGCAGCCTTGCTATCACGACAGACTTCCACATGTTTCTTGATAGGCACTCCAAGTTCAGCAAACAGTCCTAATAACCAGAGTACTTCTGATGTCACAGCTGCTAGGCTTCTAGCTTCTATACTCTGCTTCTGCAGAACTTCTTGACACTATATGCTACTTTTTGGACTTCCAAGAGATGAGTGAGTTGCCAAACTTGACTAATACCCAGTTACTAACCTTCGTGTGTTTGGACAACTTGCCCAATCTGCATCGCAAAAACATGTCAAACCATCTCCACTTGTACTACTCAGAAATATCCCCATGCCTGGTTCATGTTTTAGTATTTGACTACTCTCATAGCAGCATCCCAATGAGAATTTTTGGGCTCTTGCATGAACTGATTGAGAGTTTGCATTGCAAACACAATGTCTGGTCGTGTGATAGTAAAATAGATCAACCTACCAATCAATCTTTGGTATTCACTCACACCTGTCAGGATTTCATCACCTGTAGTGCCAGTGTGTCTGTCAAACTCAGAAGAAGTGAACTTCTGGTTGAGATCTATGGGAGTTGAGACAGGCTTAGCACCACTCAATCCCAAATCAGAGCACGTTATTTCCTCTGATTCAATAGAATCCCTTCTTTGGATCTCATGACTTCAATTCCCAAAAAGTATTTGAGATCACCAAGATCCTTCACCTTGAACTTCTGATGAAGGACAACTTTAGTCTCATTGATAAATTCCTCACTATTTCCAGTGATCAGTAAGTCATCCACATATATCAACACTGCTACAAAGTCATCTCCTTTCCTTTTAGTGAATAATGAATAGTCATATATACTCTAAACATATCCTGCAGTTGTTAAGGCCTCACCGAGCTTATTGTTCCACTGTCGTTAGGCTTGTTTAAGCCCATATAAGGATTTCAATAGTCTGCAGACCTTTGTCTTTCCCTATCTCCTAAAACCTTGAGGAAGTTCCATACACACTTCCTCGTACAAATCCCTTGCAAGAATGCATTATATACGTCCATTTGTGATATATTCCAGCCTTTAGAAGCAGGAAGAGCAATCATAGATCTCATAGTTACCATCTTGGCGACTGGTGAAAAGGTTTCATTATAGTCTAGGCCTTCTCGTTGGCTATAGACCTTGGCTACCAACCTGGCCTTGAATCTTTCTACCCACCACTTGCTTTGTATTTTATCTTGTACACTCATTTTGACCCAATAGCCTTCATGCCTTTTGGAAGGTCAACAACATCCCAAGTTCTATTGTCCTCTAAATCCTTGATCTCAGTTTCCATGGCTTCAATCCACCTTTTGTCCTTAGATGCTTCACTGAAGGTTTTTGGTTCTGTTAGTGCTGAGATTCCAGCTAAGAAACTTCTACATTTACTAGTCAACCTGCTATAGGATAGATAGTTGGATAGGGGATAAGAGGAACTCTTTTTTGTAGTGGTCACATAGTCCTGCAACCATAGAGGTTCCTTTGCAGTTCTTTTTAATTTTCTTACCTCAGTTGACTCTTGTTCAAGAGCTGCTGGGGGATTCACTTCATTTTCCTGCATTAAGTGTTGTTCTGGAACTGCATTGCTACTTATTGGTGCATCAACATTATCATTTTCTGTTGCTGCATTTTTGTAATCTGCATTTGCATCATCATCTGAATTTGCTGTTGGTGAGTCTTGCATATCATGGATATTTGCTTCTCCAGTTCCTTCATGTTCTGCAATTTCAGTCCCTGCATTGTTTTCAGCACCACTCCCCTCAACAGACTCCGCTAAAGTGCTGCTTGCAATTCCTTCTGACTCTAGATGCATATTGCCATGGGAGTTCTGTAAAGGTTCAAATTGTTCCAGGCCTGAAATGGGATCTACAGTTGTTGTATGTCATTCTGCATTGTGAGATGTGGAACAATGTTTGGCAAATGGAAAGATATTCTCCTTGAAAATAGCATCTCTGCAAACAAAGAAATAATTAGTATTCAAATCCATTCGTATGTAGCCTTTTTATGTTTCTGCATAGCCTTACAACTGATTTTGCTCTTGGTGAAAATTTTTCTTCCTTAACCAAATTAGTGGCATAACAAATACACCCGAACACTCTAAGGTGAGACAATGAGGGTGACTTGTTATGAAGGAGATCATATGGAGTTTTACCATTCAACAAATCAGTAGGCATTCTATTTATCACATACACAACTGTTTTGATGCATTCACCCCAGAACTTTTTAAGGACACTTGTTTGAAACTTCAATGCCCTAGCCGTATCTAGAATGTGCCTGTATTTTCTCTCCACTACTCCATTCTGCTGTGGAGTGTATACATAACTGCTTTGATGAACTATCCCATAAGCATCAAACAATTCATTCATGTGTTTTTTAAAGAACTCTGTGCCATTATCTGTTCTAACTACCTTAACTTTGGACTAAAATTGGGTGTGCAACATGGCAAGAAATCTCTTCAACACCACAACAACATCACTTTTCAATTGAAGTTAATGCACCCAAGTATGCCTTGTATTATCGTCCACAATAGTTAGGAAAAAATATTTTCTATCATAAGTGGGAAACCTATATAGTCCCTAAACATCCATATGCAAAAGAGATAAAGGATTTCACTTCTACTCATACTTCTAGGAAATACTAGCCTACTTTGCTTGGCTAGTGGGCATCCAGGGCAATCATTATTCACTACTACATCTACAGACTTGTTATGAAACAGATCCAAGTTCTTCATAGTACTAACTGTAGCATGCTAGCCTTTAGTGCCATAAGACTCCGTCTTCTTTATTACTCTGTGTAGTCGTAGTTGATGCAAATTTCCTTATCCCTTTGATGAATTTTTCCAAGTCTCCTTAGAAGTTCTTCTTCAATATGTACAGACCACCTCTTTCTCTACCAATTTTGCTCACTTTGCCATTGTAGAGATCCTGAAACAAACAGAAGTCAGGAAAGAAATTCACTCAACAACACAGCTACCTAGTTAGTTTGGATACTGAGATTAGGTTGAACTTAAACTCAGGTACAAACAAAACATCTTCCAGCTTCAACTCATCACATATAACAACATCTCCAATATGTGTTATATTAGACTTCTCTCTTGTAGGCAAATGTACTTGATCATTGTCACATTTGTTTACTTTATTCTTAGGGTGTGTGTGGTATTACGGAAAATATTTTCCAAGAAAATATTTTCTTGGAAAACAAGTAGTAATCTTTTTATTTTTCGGTGTTTGGTACGCAAATCAAGGAAAATATTTTCTCAAGAGTATTCATAAATAATTTTGATACAATAAACATGAAGCCATAAACTTTCGAACCAACAACTTTCCGAACCCACAAATTTCATAAACTTCTGAACCGCAAAACTTTCGAAACCGCGAAATTTTGAACCCGTAAACTTTATAATTTCTAAACCCGTAAACTTCGAAACACATAAACCTCCGAACTCATAACTTTGGAACTTGTAAAATTCTGAACCTGTAAACCGAAAGATGAAAAAAGTAAAACTGAAAATTTATTAAAAAATAATTTTTTTCCCGGGGGGGAGGGGGGGTGCAGAAAAAAACAGAAATCTAAAAATTACAAAAAAAGTAAAAAAAAAAAAATTCTTGTGCGGGAGGGGGGG